ATTCCTCCAGACTTAAAGTGATGCGACTAAGAACAGAATTCAGTGTTATAATCACTGAATTATATGAGATTTGAAATCTACTGTGAAGCATATAACTTCTGTTGTCTCTTGAGGGTCATCATAGGATTTTAAAAGAAAGTCAGTAAATAAGAAAACACCTTTACTAACCATATTTGTGTCTAGCAATTTTTTTTTTAATTCAAGTTTTACTGGCATGGATTCTTTAGTGAAACTGGGAAAACTTTGCAGTATTTTCTTAGTTCTTGAGGCTTTTTAAAAGATTATATTTGTTCTCTTGTATTTGTTTGATTTACATAGCCCTACATATTCCCATTTTCTGATACCTTAGTTACATACTCATCTTGTGTATTTGAGAGTTTAGATTTTAATCTAACATCATGGTCAATTATACAAATAATATGTTAAAATATAGGATGAAATTTGACATGGAGTAAGTAGCATTATCTAACATGGATCTGTTTTTCTCTGTGCTCATTTTGATTTGTTACTTAAGACAAGTGAAAGGGAAGGAGAGAAACAGTCTAGATGGTGGAGGTCATAAGATGGAAAATATACTATTTCTTGTGGAATTACAATATTAGATATATTTGAGGTCAGAAGTTTACTATAAAAGTACAATTTATTCATTACTTAATGTAATGAGGAATAGCATTATAGTGCTTAATGTATTTAGGTGCAACTCCAAAAGCATGAGTTAGACTCAATCTCAAAGGCTTGTGACAAATGCTCTTCCAGTTATAAGCAGATATCTGGATGTTCAGTCTGTGGTGTTATGTATGGACAAATATGAATGCTAGCTGCTTCTCTCCTGTGTCCCATTGAATATAAATATTGCTGTGCCTTAGCCCATTGAAAGGATTCCTTAGGCCAGGCATAAGGTGAGTGATGATAACTGTAAAAGCCTGAGACTTCTTACATATCAGGCAGAAATTGTGATCTCTAGAGGGTAAAGATGTATTCAGTTGACACACTTTTTGCCCTCATATCTATAAAGTTAGAGCATCCCATTACTAAAAGTTGTAGAATAAAGTGATGGAGAACTCATGTAAATAGTGTGTTTTTTGCAGTACATAAGAACATCCTTGTTTTTTATCCTTGATCAGCTTCTAGGTAACAGAGGTATTGATTTAGACTAAAAACAGTTGAATGGCTTGATTCCTCTAATAGATTGGCTTTTTAATTTCATGAGGTGAATGGGTTAAAAAGTTACATGATTTTTTTCTTAAAAATATATTAAAATTATACTTTATTCAAGCCATGTCACTTTTTAAATTTTTCCTTTTTTGGAAATCAGGAATTTTTTTCCGAAATTGATAATACTATCCGAGATCAGATGCCTGTCTGTGCTGATAGAGAGGAAGGTAAAACAGAGCCGTAATGAATGCTTCTCCTATAATGACTTCAGGACTAACTTGGCATTCTGGGGAAAGCATGCAGTAATAAGGATGAACATTGTTCCTTTACAGTTCTCCTGTTGTCTGGAAGTTCAGAATTCAAACACAAATGAGTGAAGTGAAGGGCTCCCAAGTGTGCTTAGTTTTTGTTAAGTTTCTTAATGCACTCCTGGAAGACATGTAGTTCAGGGCTGATGGAAAAGTTTTTAAAACTTTTTCACTTTCAAAAGCCTGATTTGTTGGGCAGTTGGTTGTTCCACTCTAGATTTTGCATGATTTCTAGCAAAATTTTCTGTGGCCTGCTGAAAAAGAATTAATTTCAGAATAAATTCTGTCCCCATAATAGACCTTCAGATATGCACTTGGAAGCAGCATTCGTTAGAGAGGCATGTAAAAGGCTCTGAAACATCCAGCATCTTGTGAAAACTTAAAGATAAATCTTCTTTACAACATTCTACATCTGGAACCTGATGCAAAAGAAAATTGGATTCTGAGAGGGAAAGTTTCACCCGTTTTTAAGCTATCTGTTCCTCCAAAGGAAAGTTTATCAACTTAAGTCTCTGAGCTGGCAGTAACAGAAGAAACTCAGTGAAAACTACCTTCTTTTTTTCTTTTCTGGAGAGCAGTTCTTTTCTGTCTATAAAATGGGATATTTTGGGTGCCTGTTTTTGATACATGATGTTATTCTATTCATGCCTTCCAACAATCTTCTTTGAATTCTTTTCATTGGATGCTTCTCAGAACAGAGATGGAATAGCTGTTAAGGTTAAAAATGCTAGAAGTGCATCAGTAGTACAGCAGGAAAGATTCTGTTTAGAGTTCTTACTGGGATCAAAAAGATGGCACAGAACTGAATCTGGGACAAAACAACTCTTAGTGTTGAGTAACTCTTATGTACCAGAAATGCTATAAATCACACTTGTTTAAATCATGTGCTTGATAATGACATCAGAATCTTCTTAATGTTTATTGGTTATCTTTCTAGCTACACTTTATATATACTGTTTACAGTTAGTCTTCAGTTGATTTTTCTACTATGTACATAAACTGTATTTCTACTTTTTTTATCTGTCGTCTTTAGTATCCTGAAGTTTAAGTCCTGTTTCAATTTCAGAGTTAAAGTAAACTGATTCTCTCTCCACTATATGCTACTTTCTTTTCTCCCATGATTCTCCCCATAATTCTATGAAAAGGTTTATTGCAAGATATGGGCTAAGTCAAATCGGTATCTTAAACTCATCTGTTTTCATTTTTGGAAGTCTGTTGGACTATAATACTATGTCATTATCCAGGCCCTGCTATAAAATAGAAATTATCTTATAGTTGCTTTGTGCATCATTTTTTTATTACCTGTAGATGAATCTGCTTATTGCTTCTATGCATATTTTAATTTACAGTAATTATTTTGATTAGCACATAGCTATAGAATAGTTCTGTTCTTTTGAAGGAAAACTGTAAGACAAAAGGGAAACACAAAAACAAGTAAAAAATGTTTTAAAAACCATGAAGAGTTATGTCACATGAGACTGTCATTTGAATAGCAGCTCTATCCCAAATACCTCTCTTTGTATGTCATTTTTATTCATATCCTACAGTTTGATAAGTTAGAAAGGAGCTGTGAATGGTGGGGAAAAAACACTTTTTGGGTTTAGCATTGTTATTAAGGATAGATGTGTTTATTATTGGGCCATTGGTTTATATAAAGATGCAGACAATGTTAAACTATCATGGTTCCTGGTGGAGTGTTTTTTTTTCCCTCCAATTAAACTTAAATAATACTTCAACAAATTCAAGCCAAATTCTATGTAGCTGTCCAGTAGAAGACGAACAGAACTGGAGACAGAGTATTAGTTCTCATTTTTTTCCCTAACTTATCTATGCAGTAACAGACCAGGTTGTAAGATTTAATAGAAGATAACTAAAGCCAAAACCCACTCAGTTAAAAGAGAATGTTGCAATTATTTTCAATGGACCTTGAATTAACTGTTGAAGAGTAGACATCTGACTTTGAGATAGTTTGTCAGAGCCCTCATATTTAAGTTGCTAGCAATAGCAGGAATTTCTTTATGCAGCAATTAAGTAAACTACTGTGTATATTTTTTCTAAGACCTCTGAATCATGTTGTTCACTACAGATAGGCATGTTGGAAAGTGATTGAGTCATGCTTTCATTAATAAGATTAGAATTTTGTCATCATGGTCTAACAAACTATGCTAGCAGTTTTCTCCAGGCAGTAGGTGCTTTCTCTTCATCTTTTAAACTTGTGCTGTGACCTTATTGTAAAACATCTAATTTTAAAACCTAATACTAATTTTATGATGGAAGCCTCTTTTTACTGTACAGCAGCAGAAATGAACTTAGCCTGTTTTAGTTTAAGAGGTTTTATTTCTACCTTTTTATAACAGTACAGCTTCCTTTTCCTGCAATTTTTTTCATGATGTCCACATTGCACGGTTTTTCCAGAACATAGGGAGGCTATGCAACCTCTACAGTCACTGCTTTATGCAGAAAATTTAAGGTTATGTTGTTAAACTGAAATTGGCATCTCCAAAACCTTAAGCATGTCTTTTTTATTTGTTTCGTACTCTTTAATTGTAGTACTGTCCAATTTAAATATCCCTATCTTAATTGTTTTAAATTAATGCTTCTCAACTTGAAAAGGGAATGGAGCTCACTAGAAATTATTCACAATATAGCTGAGGAGTTCATCAGGTTTCTAATTTAAAAAAAAAACACTGCCAAATAAACCAAAATTCCATGTCTTCTAGTCTTTTTTCTTTCTTTCTATTTTTATTTCTTATAATGTTGTAACCCTTACTGTATCTTATTAAGAGAAATCCTGAAGTAATGCTTCTCTTGTTTAACGTTATAGATTTTTAATTTTATAACTGAAGAGGGGAAACACTAAAAATTTTAGCTGCCATGTCTAATAGAAAGTCTTAGAAATAGTCCTGTTTTTTGTTTATGGGATTCTGCAGTTAGCCATTTTTTTAAACATTATTTGGTAAGTGGAATTTGAACTTGTGCTATGTTCATCGCGTTTTTTTTTTATATGCTGTGTTTGTA